ATCGCCTTAACCACTCGGCCACCTCGTCGATGCACCTTACTGCTCTACAGCGCCCACCTGTGTCAAACTGTGCAGGGTGTGTACTATATTTTTTATAATATGTGTATTTGGAACTTCCCAGCTGATTTTTAATAGGGTTAGTAGCCTACAATACAACATCATAAATTGGTTAACAAACCAGGCCCAGCTGTAATCCTATTAAATATCAGCTGGATAGTTTCAGATAACAGAGTTCAAACCCACTCTGCTCAACTCCAAAAAGGTATTGTCAAAAATCCACTGACCCGTACCTCAGTGTTAGTAGGCAAACCATACAAATTGCTCTGTAAATACTGCAGTTAAGACTAAATGTCACACAAATGTAGCAAAAAAAATTAACTAAAGAGCTCTATTTATTTATTTAGGTATTGTGCCACAATTTTTGAACATCAGTGTTATACTAAAAAGGGGGGACTGAGAACATCTGTCTAACATGATATTTAACCAGGAGACACAAAATGCCTGATAACATGTAACATTTAACATCTTGTTATTCTATATCATCTCGAGACAGACAACAACTGTTGAATGTATTCACATCTGGAAATTACTATGGCAACATGAGCTGCAGCTCATAATATACCCTGAAATATTCAGGCATAGGAGGTTTGCATGATGGGAAACATGGGACTGTTCTTTTTTAAATCTGTCTTTACACTGTCTTCCCTCAACATCATGGAAGCTTAATACTGAACTGCTACTCACAATAGTTCCTTTGCTCGTCTTAAAACCTCCTACAGTTCAACTAACCAGACCTGGGTAATATACCCATACCCTGCAGTCATAATAAAGTTATTTATAGTGGAGATGGGAGCCATAATAAGTACCTACAGGACATGCAGTATGAATAAACACCAAAGCTTGCAAACAACTTTACTGAGGAAAATATTGCAATCAAGATCAGGAACATAATATTCCAGCAGGAGCAGATTAGCATCAAATTTCTATATTCTAAGTATTTTCTGACTTTATAGTAAATGGGGCATAGTCTTGGGAAATGATTATAGAGAGAGATTATTTAGATTTTAGTGAAGTTCTCTTCAGTTTTCAGGAATTGTGGCAGTTAAACCACCAGAGGGCACCACACTTTACTAAAAGACACATTGCCCTCCGCCTGGCTTTACCTGGAGGGTGTTTTTATATTAAGCAGGATTCGTGAGCTGGCCTGAAAGCTGTGAAAAAGGCGATGCTCTCTACTAATATTACTGTAGTTCCAAATCAAGCCGACAAAACCTGAATATCAGGCGCAGGAATATGTTGTAGCTTGCTTGTTTGTGTCTGAAGTATAACCCAAGAGACTCACCGTCCTTCATTTCAAGGTGAATCTAACACCTCGGCAGGAAGGAAGGAAGTCATCAGCTGGCACCACTGTGTGTGAAAACTGAACAGACCAGAAGAGTAAATTTAAATCACATTGACTCACAGGACCAGAGGGATTTCTTTGCTGCAAAGCATTGTGAGTTGCTGTTCCAATGATCATTTTTTTACCCTTAATTAGAAGTGGATGAAGAATATGGACAGAGAAGAGAGGCAAGGCATTTAATTCACTGCTGTATCGGAGCAACTTTGTATAAAAAACAAGTACTTAAGTACAATCTTAAGTTGCTGATGAAATTTGCAGTGATAAAATTGTCATGGATGTCTACACACACCTTTTGCTCTGTTTCAGCTCAGTCCAGTCACATATAGACCATCAGGTTGTGATGTACTGACAGCGTCCCCGTGGGCTCAGTACTTGTCCAAGAACATGTTAAAACACAGTCTCAGATTCAGTTCCCAGATTTGTAGTGGGATACTGTGGCAGTTTTATAACAAAAAGGAATTGGCCAGTAAGAGCCAGCCAAGAGGGTCCAACTGCAGACCACCATACTCCTAAAGACCCAGGACTGCAAGCTAACGGAAGTCCAACTTCAGACCACAACCTCTGATCTGTGAGGGGGAAACAGAGCAGGGTCCCCAGGTGTAAGGTACACTCTCTTTTCTGTTATAACAGCAGGAAAGCAAACAGGTTTACTTTAGTTAAATTTCTTTTCACTGTGGATGAGCTAAATGTCAGTGTATAGACTTTGCTGTAAGTGAGAAAAGAAATCCACGGAAAGTTGGAAGGTCAAGTCTGACAGGGAAAATCTAACTTTGTCTCGACTTGTATGAGTATATTTGTTAAAGCCTCCCTCCAGTCAAACATCAGTGTTTCTTCTGGTTCCTACAGTGTGCTGTTTGAATGCTGTCTGTGCAGTTTCACTCTAGAAGGATGTTTTCACATTTAT